TTGATAACATCATTTTTCATCTTTGCAAAGTTTCTTTTCTACTTCATATAATTAAAAGTTTGTTCCAATTCTTGATATCATGTTTTTTGTAGAAATAATGAAACGATTTTTCAAATAAAAATGAAAGTAGTAAATGAGTAACCATGGCGCGTCAAAAGAAATCCCCACCACCTTCCCACTGGCGCCAGGGGCGTGGCTTCCGACCGTCAAAAGCTGGCAGTCACGTGGAAATGGAGCGTTCTCCATTGGTCGGTGGGCGTGGGAGGTGATAATTAGATAATTAGTGGGAGCGTTCTGATTGGCTGACTCCGTAGCTGCCCAGCACGTGATTGGCTCTACCCATAGTGCCCCATGTGTACGATTGGTTGTCAAAATGCTAGACCAAAAAGTAGGGGAAGGGGGAGAAAGTGTCTGGGATCGATCGGGGTCCAAAAACAAAATGGCGTCTGCGAAAAGAAATATGGCGGGACTGTAAAAGGAATATATTTATCGAGAATGGAATGCGATTTTTTGTGACACGTGGGATGGAGCGAAGAGAAGAAAACTAATTTTTTGCGAGTTTTTATCGCGTGTATATGGAATATGATGAATCGGGTTTTCTTAGGGCGAAAGATTTCTCGGCGCCTAGCGAATTTAAATAAATTTCTCGAGTCATTTGACATTTTTTGTATGGAGGAAATGTATAAACGTTTTGAAAACGCGAGGTTTGGTAGAGTGTAATATTTGTTAGAGTTATTTACCGAATCGTATGATATTTGGGGGAGGAAAACAGGAACAGTCAGGTTCGCACTAGAAGCTTGGAGTTATACGAGGCTTTTATCCTATGACAAACACGCTGGTTGAAAAGATGTTCTAGATATAAAACTCCAGATTTTTCAAACATTGGGATTTATACACTAGCGAGGTTATTTTCCTTAATTCTTTATTCATATTAATTTTCCTTATTTCTATGTAAGCAAGCGAAAATATCTGAAAAATGATTGAATATTTTTAGCTTGGAGTTATGTAGAGATTGATTTTAGGCCGGCGGGAAAAGAGAGTAAAACAGACAAAGACTGGAATTTATGTTACAAAAAATTAAGTTTATTGTTATATCATTATACATATTATATCGATTCATAATAGTGTTTCTTTATTATTTAATTATTCTTAAAAGTACAAGTTTGTATATGACAGCACGTTACATGAGATTTTTCACATTTCTTTTTTCCATTTTTCACATTTCTTTTTTGAAGAAAAATTTTAATAATTGTACGATTAGCTTATCATTATCTTCGTAATCTTCGCTGAATATTTTAAGAAATTATTTAAGCTTATAACCGCGAGACAAATAATAAAGAAATACGTAGCAATATTGTCCACAAGTCTGAGAAAATATGTCTTGTAATCGCACGATGTTCCATTTATAAGAATTTCGTATTTCCATTTAGTAGAATTTCGTCGAACTCATAGATTGAATCTGGAATCCAAGGGTAGTCCGTAGCTATCGAAATACGTGCCTTCTCCGTGCTTATCTAAGTAGAAAATAACCCAGTGTTGTCCAGGACGATCGTGATTATCTGTGTTCGCGACGATAGCTGTCGACTTCGTCCACACCCTCGGGATTCTGTCAAGATACACACCCGCATGTCCGACACTGAGATGATGCAACGCTCGTAAGATTTCGAGCGAATTCATCTTTCGCAGAGAGGAATGATGTTTGAGTTGTTTCTTGGCTCGCCGGTGTCGTTATATTTTTATCCTCTTGCGATTGTACGAATTGTAGAAGCTTCCTTTTTTTCACGCTCGAGTTTCGATAGATCTTCTTTCTCCGCTTTTATTTGTTCGCACCTCGCTTGTTCTGTTTCTAATCTCTTATTTCTCCACGTAACGAGATTCGGAAAATTTCGTTTTATTGTAAAAACCTCACTTTCTGTATCACTGTCATCGGAACTTTCATTGGTAAAAAGAATTAGCGCTGCTTATGTCGCAGTTCCCTTCTTGAGATCGCATCCAGTATCTCGCATCAGTATAATTTGCATGCATTGCGTAACGCGGAATAAAATTTGTCGGAATTTCGATGAAACCCATGATGGCCGCAGCACAATTCATTCTTCGCCTTCCGACAGGTTTTTGAAAGCAGATGAGATTTCTTCTAGATTATATATGTTTCTTGCGAGTGTGTTTTTCAAATAATGTATCTTCTCTCGACCTCGGGTGTATATGTAACGCGCTTGCCGTGCAATTTCACGTAGTTCCGTCATGAAATGTTTGGACTGTTCCGTCAAACCACTCGATCCCGTGGAAGTTTCGAGAGAGACAGTTGTTTTCTCGTCTGTATTTTTCGGATAATTCGACAAATGGATATGCAGGCATCATAATGCAGTAACTTATGAATGCTTCGTTAATAGCGATGTTATGTCGTGACGACTGCACGATTCTTCTCTTTCGGGTATCAGTTATTTAATTAGAATTTAATTAGCGGATAAACGGGTGACATATGTTCTGTTATGCTGTTAGATCGCGACGGTTACGCAACTGATCTCTTCCGGAGGTCGGTTACTAGAATTTGGCTAAGCGAATAATCCCTATTATTCTAATCGCGAAAGAACAACATGTGTACAGATGTTTTCCTCAACGAAATCATATACATATAGTGCCCTTAAAGGCACGGAGGCGCACTGCTACTTCTTTTTTCACGCGGTCAGAACAGTTTCAGTCCATCAGTTTGTCAGTAATTCAATCAGTCGGTGTCAGTCGAAATATATTTTTTCACCAAGTACAAGTGACCAAGTTTCCTGGCGACACCGCTTCCACCTTCATCATCTCGCAGGTCCCAAGTCTCCGGCATTCCAGAATAACAGTAAGTTAAGATTACACATAGTAAAATTCTCCAATAATAATTTTTTGGGTATGTTCTCCTTATATTTTTTCATTTTTCCCCTACATCCTTTCTATCTTCTGCCGTTCTCCTTACACTTTTACTCCCTTTTTTTTTTCTTTTTCTTTTCTTTTTTTTCTCTTTGCTTGGGCCGTCGGACCTCTCGGGCTCCCTATGCGTTGCGGAGCACTCAGCAGGTTCATGGCCGTCGAATAATTCGGCAAAATCTGCTTCTTCTCTGTTTGCTTCGGCCGTCGAACCTCACTGACTCCCTATGCGTTGTGGAACACTCAGCAAGGTTCATGGCCGAATAATTTCCGGGAAATCTATTCTTTTTTTTCTCTCCTCTCTTACAATTTTCTCTTTCCCTTCTTCATTTCTCTCCTCCGTCGAATCTCTCGGTTTCTTGAAATATTTCAGAGATAGCCTTTTTATGACTAATGATATTTCCTTCATATTCCAACTAATCCATTTCTTCTAGTGAGATCTACATCATCCTCTCTTTCCGACGCTCAGAGACGGAGGCGAGCCCTGAAGAGGCTCCGTTATCGTCGCAATAAGCGAGCTCGTCGATCAGCCAACTATCTCTCGCCTAGGACATCCAAGGTTTTTACACGTGCTGAAGAAATTACGAGTTGTTCCAACACAAGACCCTATTCATTGTGCATGTCTCCTCCGTCCTATTCTCCGATTAGACCATCCGAATCTGGATCACTTCCAGATTTCAGAGCGCTCTTCCCAGAGCGCCATGACACAAATTTCCAATATCCAGATTTCCTCACCAAGGAATCCTTGGACGAGTTCTGCGGACTCCTTCCCCTCCTCCCCTAGACCTCAGAAATCCGACCTCCTCTCCGAAACAACCACACACGGATATCAAAATATAGATTTAAATATATTAAACAACGTAAGATAAGAATATAAAAAAATAGATTTAAATATATTAAACAAACGTAAGATAAGAATAATTAGAATATAGACGAACATACAAATATAATCGAATTTGTACACGAAAATTGAATAATACATCCATAAATTTTCTAGAACATTTATATTATATGAATTTCCGTATGTATAAATCTCCGTTCTTTTACTCATCTCGAACACAAAAAAAAACTCTTTTTATAAAATAAAAAAAAGGTGTTTTTAAAAACACGTTAAAAACACCTTTTTAACACCTTTTTTATTTTATCAAATGTAAATATACCTCAAGCAAATATACTTCAACACAAGAAATAATGACGCGGATCTTGTGGTTAGTTAAACTTGTAATCACTTTTAATATTATTAATTATATGTAAAATTCAAATTATTTATCGTTTTAGTTATTTCCTCCCTTTTTCATTCCCCGCTATCCTAAGATTCGCACATGGTCCTGTCCCTGGCAAAAGAGTTTAAATTCTCTTGCCTAAATTACGGATCGACGGACGCACGTCACGCAGTCGAAGTCATAGCGTCTTTTCCAAGATGTTGACTCACACTCGTGAATCTGCACAGTGCGTCCGACTCGTAGGAACGCTTCAGCGCGCCCACCTGCGAGAGGATATTTGGAGCATCCTTCCAAGCTTATTCATTAAAAAAAAATTAATTACCTCCAGCTGAAGGTAACAAATAGAGAAAATTTGGGAGCTCGTCCGGGATGATATGCGATCTTTGGAGACAGGAATGACTACGAGGTTTAAGGCTGACAAGGTTAAAATAGACGTTCTTTACAATCTTGATCTAGAGAGTGGAGGTAATCCTAAAGACTAAATCAGAAACTATATACACTTCTACCCCAGCAAAAACTCCTGCTTCGAGACCTATTGTCTTTAGAAGAGACCTCATTTGTTGAAGAATTAGAAATTATTTGCGAAGCATCCGAATCTAATATATTACGCCCCGAAAATTTAGCGTTAACAAGCAAGTTTGACATTACTACGAACAGCCAAACGAAAGATTTAAGTAAATTAAGTATGGCGCAAATAATCCTTTCGCCACATTAAAATACGCTATTGAGGCCGTTCCTTTCTTTGACAGCCAGAACATCCCTTTAAGTTATTTTATCGAGGAATGTGAAGAAGCTAAATCCATGTTACCAGATGAAGCCGAATCGTAATTCACTAAAGTTATAAGAACGCGAATAGTTGAAGAAGCTCGTCGTACCATCGCAGGTCAGAACTTCGACAATGTTGCTCAACTTACAAATTTTTTAAAACAAATTTATGGTCATTCCAAAAACGTATATCAAATACAAGGTGAACTAGGCTCTATTTATCAAAAACGTAATGAAGACATTGTAACTTACGCAAATCGAGTAAAGATTTTAGAGAAACAAATATTAGAAGTCAATCGAAACTCCGGAAATTCTCTCCCAGAACGTAGTATCATGGACTCATTAGAAAAGGATATGTATAAATGTTTTATTAGAGGTCTGAATCCGAAAATCGAACAAAAAGTAGAAATCTCGACGTCAAGGGAACTGTGGCCGATGCATTACGTATAGAAAGAGAATTACACGCAATTTCGGACTTGCGCCGCGGATCAAGTACCACCTCAAAACTGATTGATATCACTGTATCGCGAGAAACCTGTCAAATTTGTTATAAAAGTGGACATTCAACTAATAATTGTAAGAAGTTTAATCAAAATTCTTATCAAAATTATAATAGAACTGAGAATTTGGGAAACGAAATACTGATTTGCCAGATTTGCAAGAAACGCGGACACGACGCTAATACGTGTCGACTTCGCGACTCACAGACACGACGAACCGTTAACATGATACGCGAAAATACTATCACCTGTCAGTTATGCTCGAAATCGGGACATAATGCCAAGACTTGTTGTACGAATAATAACAGCAATCAAAATAAAGCTTTCCTAATCTGTCAATGGTGTGACAAACCCGGACATTCGGCCAGTAATTGCTGGAAAAAACAAAATGAGCAAACAGCGGAAAATAAATAAAAAATTTCTTGTCAAAATTGTAACAACTTCGGTCATACCGCTACAGATTGTCGATTTAAGTTAACCCAAAAATCGGGTAGCTCTCCATATTATCGCTACTGCAAAGCACAGGGACATCTTTTAGAAAACTGCGACTTACGAATTTTAAACAATAATCGTAGAAAAACAAACAATTCGGAAAACTCCAATGGTCCACCAAAGTCGGGTGTCCAACGGGGGGTTTCACACCCATCGACATCTTCAACATCCGATAAAAAATACACCGAACGGTCAACCCGTGACAGTAAACCTCGACAAACATAGTCGCGTGCCTGTCCGGATAACCTTAGATAAGATAAATTCTCCTTTAACTTTTATGTTAGATACTGGTTCCGGACCGAATATAATAAAAAAAGATTTTGTACCTAAACACATTGCTATTGATCACTCTTGCATATTAAAATTAAATGGAATAAATGAATACCCCGTTTATACTCTCGGTGAAATTACCTTAACTCTCTTTAAAATTTTAGTAAAATTCCACATAGTGTCTAACGATTTCCCTATTTCACAGTCTGATATACTCGATTTCTGGTAACGATTTCTTCAAACAAACCTCTTCAACGATAGATTATACTCAGGGACATCTAAACATATCTGGAATTAATATACCATTCTCTTCTCCAGAAATCATCATCGTATCACCACGATCAGAGTCATTGTTTTATGTGAGAATAGGTAACCCCGAAGTAAAGATCGGATACATACCTAAATTAAGAGTAGCACATAGAATTTATTCGAGAGATTCCATAGTAGAAAACATTGCTGGAAAGGCATACATAAATATTATAAGTACGTTAGACGAAGAAACGGAAATACAAGTACCAATATTGCGACTTAAGACTCTCGACGAAATACTCAACGATCATGAAAAAAATCTCGAGGCGCATATTTCAAAAATTCCAACGTATTCATTATCTTTGGACAGTACTGAAACTATCAACGACAAGGTTAATACCCTTTATAGAAATGATATCGAAAAAGTTATCAATCCTAAGAACGAGAGCGAATACGTTTACTTACTTGAAGACGGGATTACAGATACAAACCAAGAGGGAAATCTTATGAACTCTGAAAATGAAAGTCAAATCCATGAGAAATCAGAAAATAAAGATAAAAATAAAAATGAGGGCTTCAATTTCAAAATCTTTGGAGGGGGAAGTTTCCAAACCTCTCCTGAGAATCCTGATATTGCAAAGAGAAGTTACCAAACTTCTGCTCAAATATCAATCCACCCTAAGATCCCTGGAGGGGAAAATTTCCAAATCTCTCCTGAGAATCCTGAAATTGCAGAGGGAAGTTACCCAATCTCTGCTCCAATATCAACTCATCCCAAGATCCTTGGAGGAGGAAATTTCCAAACCTCTCCTGAGAATCCTGGAATTGCAGAGGAAAACTTCTCTAGCAATTCCCAGCTCCGTCGGTTGCGAGGAGGGAAGTTACCAAACCTCACTGCGTAACTCGACACAACTCTATCTAAGAGAAATTAAAAATAAGAATTTCCCACTTCAATTAAAAAATATTAAATTTCGAAAAATTGGGATGCTCTCGAAAGAAATAGAAAAAGAACAGAAACCTCTCAAAATATTATCAAGAAGCTCATAGGAAGGACAAACTTAATTAATAACTGCAAAATGAAAGATAAAAAACTGTCTTCTAGAATTTTTTCATCAAAACAAAATCAGTCTCAAGAAATATTTGATAAATGTATACACAAGCATAAATCGAAACATAAAGACAAATTCACACAAGGATCACTCGTTACCTTAACCGATAATCCTCACGAATGCTTAGTAATATCAAAGGAGGACGCAAGGGATCGGCTTACTGAAATTATAGAATCCTTGCGGTTGGAGCACTTAAACGAACAAGAAAAGAAAAAAGTAATAAAACTTATAAAAATCAGTCAGGACAGATTTCACATACGTGGTGAAAAATTAACTGCCACTCATGTATTGCAACACCAAATACCAACCATAGATGATCTGCCAATAAATACATGACAGTACAGATTTCCACAAGTTCATAAAGAGGAGATAAACAAGCAGGTAGGAGAATTGTTAGAAGTTGGAATAGTAAAGCCATCTCAATCTCCGTATAACACTCCTATATGGATAGTGCCAAAAAAGGAAGATTCAAAGGGAAACAAACGCTGGAGAATGGTTTTGGATTTTCGGGCATTGAATGATAAGACCATTGGAGATGCCTACCCTTTACCGAATATTGTAGATATCATCAATTGGGAGGAGTGCAATATTTCTCAGTTTGCGATTTAATCTCTGGATTTCACCAGATCAAAATGGATCCTTCAGATAATCATAAAACAGCTTTTATTACTCCTTTCAGGCATTATGAATTCAATAGAATGTCCTTCGGTCCAAAAAGCACCTGCCACTTTCCAACGTCTAATATGTCTAGTGTTAATCGGATTACAGGGGAAAGAATTATTCGTCTATGGATGATATCGTTATATATGCCTCCTCACTAGAGGAACATGAAAGGAAGTATAATAATTTAATAAACAGATTACGCGAAGCAAACTTAAAATTACAATACAGCCAGATAAATGCGAATTTCTAAAAACTGAAGTAACATATTTAGGACACGTGATCAGCAAAAACGGGATTAAACCAGACCCCAAAAAATTGGAAGCAGTGCAACAGTTTCCTAGACTAAAAATGCCTAAAAATATCAAACAATTTTTCGGATAGCAGGATATTATAGACGATTCATTTCAAACTTCTCGAAGCTCGCTAAACCATTAACAAATCTGTTAAAAAATGACACACGATTTGACTGGACATCTGTTCAGGAAGAATCATTTGAAACCTTGAAGCAGAAACTATGCGAAAAACTCATCTTGCAATATCCCGATTTCTCAAAACCATTTATTTTAACAACCGACGCT